ATGTACAGTACCAAGATTCGAACCTTTCTCTTGAACTTTCTTATTTCCACTTTCTCCCGCTAGTGCACCTTTTTGTTGGAAATAGCCAATTAACATGGAGGATCCTTTAGTATTAACTACAAAGTTTTTTAAGACAAAAGTAGAGTAGTCAAGAACAATTATAATTCATTTGGAAGTCCTTACACAATCAATTTTGGGTCATGTATATTCTCAAACAACTTTTAAATCATTTTTATAATTGAAGTGAATAATAAAGAGATGCTTAAGAAAAATTCCACTCACAAAGATCTTTTTTTAATATTCAATATCAGCATGTCCCTCCTAACTCTTGGGCTGCACGCATGAAAATTTGCAAAAAGTTCCAACTTGTAAGGGAAGAAAAACAAACAAGAAGCTGAAAATAGCAGTCCATACATATGAGAGTTTACCACTTGTAATAGTTGTGAGAATTTTCATGGTCCGTCTTCCACTTTCTCTTTTCTTGTTCCTGAATGTATGTAGTAATACTAATAATGATAACCTATAACAAGAAAAAAGAAAATACAGAGTGTTTAGGCTATGCGTGCTTAAACCAAACCAGCAAACTAAATTTGACGAATAAATCGAGTCAAACCGACTTTATTTGATTTGGTTTGACATTAACAAAACAAAAGCCAAACTAAGCTGAACCAAATTAACATCACGTATATACTGGTTTCAAAATTTTTACACACAAAAATATTTGTTATAATCTAATTTGTAAATACTTTTCAAAATACTGCATAGTTTTTTATTTTTTGACACATTGTTACAAGTTTTGTCTTATATGTTGGAAAAAGCCAACAAACCTGTTACTATTTTAGCAACAAGCTAGCAGGAAGATCAAAGTGATGATGGTTTGTAGCTTTGTTATATTATAACTTCTTTTTTATCCTCTTAAAATCATATTCCGATTTTCTTAGATATGTTAGTTGCCAATGCACAAAAAGTAGCCTGTAATTTATTGGATGGGTCAGCTAAAGTTCTGCTTATTTTTGCAAAATTATAATTACAAAAGCTTTCAACTTTTTATTGTTGTGAAACGACGGACATGTTAGCTTTCCTTATTTTCTTAGGCGCTTCAAACATTTGGCGGCACTTTAATAACAAAACATAAAGCAAGAGTTGTACTTTGTATTATTTATAAGTTAGTTAGTCAGTTAAGTAAGTACATAGTGGAGAGGTTAGTTAGTTGGTGACAGCTAAGCATAAATGGNAGTCTTCCTCTCTTCTCTCACTTCTATCTCGGCTATTTCATTCTTCTTCATCTCTCTTATCTTAATTCTTCATGTTATTAGAGACAAAAGATATAGATTGTTGCTCATAATCGATTCGATACTAACATCTGCTTCGCTATTTCGTTTAGTAATTTTCTTCTACTAAATTCAGTTTTTTTTGTTGAATTTCTTCATCGAAACTCTAATCTGCTCAACAATGGCAGTAGATGAATTGGAGTTAGGAAATACAGCTACTACAGCCGATAATTCTCAAATCTCATTTGATGATGAATTTGAAGATTGAGTTACAGTCGCTGCTACTCAACCTCTATATCTCGCTCCTGCAGATACCAGTGGGATTTCTCTCATCTCTTTTCAACTCACCAGTATGGACAACTTCTCGCTGTGGTATCGTTGTATGAGAATTTCTTTGCTCGGTCGGACAAGCTCAGAATTATGGATGGTAGATGGAAAAAGGAACGATTATGTGAAAAGTATTGGTATCAGTGGGAAAGGTGCAATGCAATTGTGCTTTCATGGTTAATGAATGCAGTTACTCCTAACCTAATTAGTGGAATCGCCTATGCCACCAATGCACATGCAGTATGGATGGATCTACAAGATCGATTTGATAAGGTAAATGACACTCGATGTTACAATTTGCATAGAGAAATTGCTACTCTCAGTTAAGGTACCTTCTCTGCGTCTGTTTACTATTCCAAGCTTAAAGATCTTTGGGATAAAGCTGAGGCACTAGAGCCTAGTCCTGGTTGTGATTGTGTCACTTAAGGGCCGGCCAACCGCTTCTGCGGTCCCAATCCTGCTCTTGCGGGTGCGCTTCTGCGCAGGCCATCTGCTTCTGTGAACCAACCACTCCAGGCCGCTTCCGCTTCTACGACCAGCCTTCCGCATCTGCGACTATGCAGGTGCGGAAATTCCCTTGCACCTACGACCACTGCACACCCCCTTCCCAAGTCGCTTCTCTGCTCCCTGGTTCGCTTCTGCGAGCTCGCACCTGGGATCAAAACTCCGCAAGTGCGATCGCACCAGACCTGGTGCACTATAGCAGTCCTTCAATTCCAAACTTGATCCGTTAACCATCTGAACACCACCCGAAGCCCCCGGGACCTCAACCAAACATACCAAAAAGTCCTAAAACATGATATAAACTTAGTCGATGCCTCAGATTACATTCAACAACAATAAAAACTTTAATCGTACTTCAATTCAAGCCTAATGAAAAACTAGCGAAATCCAACTTCTACGATCGATGCCGAAACCTAACAAATCAATTCCGATCAACCTCAAATTTTGCACACAAGTCATAAATGACATTACAGACCTATTAAAATTTTTGGAACCAAAATTTGAGCCCCATAACCACAAAGTCAACTCTCGGTCAAACTTCTAAATTTCCAAAACTTGTAATTTTCCAACTTTCGCAGTATTAAGCCAAATTCTACTATGGACTTCCAAATAATTATCCGGACACACTCCTAAGTCCAAAATTACCATACGGAGCTACTGGAACCATCATTCCATTCCGGAGTTGTTTACACATAAGTCATCATCCGGTCAATAATTTCAACTTAAGCTTTTAATCTTGGAACTAAGTGTCCCAATTCATTCAGAAACATCCTCGACAAGTCAGATAATCACTATTGAGCATAAAATAAGCACTAAATGGGGGGAACAGGGCTATAATACTCAAAACAACTGGCCGGGTCGTTACATTCTCCCCCTCTTAAACAAACGTACGTCCTCGAGCGGGTTTAGAATCATATGTGGAGTCTCAAATAGGCGTGGATATCTGCTCTGCATATCCCTCTCAGTCCCCCAAGTAGCTTCTCCCACTGGCTGGCCTCTCCACTGTACCTTCACTGAAGCTATGCTCTTCAACCTCAACTTTCAAACTTACAGGTCCAAAATGGCTACCGTCTCCACATCATAAGTCAAATCACCATCTAACTGAACTATACTGAAATCCAAAACAAGAGACGGATCTCCGACATACTTCTGGAGCATGGATACACGAAACACTAGATGAACACCAAATAGACTAGGCGGCAATGCAAATTTATAGGCCACTTCTCCAATCAAAATGCCCAATATACCGAAGGCTCAACTTTCCCTTCTTCTCGAACCTCATAACACCCTTCATAGGCGAAACTCCGAGTAATACCTTCTCCCCCACCATGTATGCAACATCACGAACCTTCCGATCGGCGTAACTCTTCTGTCTAGACTCTGTCGTGCGAAGCCGATCCTAAATCAACTGAACTTTGTCCAAAGCATCCTGAACCAAGTAAGTTCTCAATAGTCTAGCCTCACCTGGCTCAAACCAACCCACCGGAGATCGACACCATCTCCCATGCAAAACCTCATACGGAGCCATCTGAAGTAACTGTTGTTGGCAAACTCTGCAAGCGGTAGAAACAAATCCCAAGGAGCCCCCGAAATCTATAACACAAGCACGTAGCATATCTTCCAATATCTGAATAGTGCGCTCGGACTGTCCGTCCGTCTAAGGGTGAAATATTGTACTCAACTGAACTTGCATGCCTAACTCTCGCTGCAATTCTCTCCAAAACGGTGATGTAAACTGCGTGCCTCGATTTGAAATGATGGACGCTGGCACACCGTGAAGGTGAACAATCTCACGGATATTGACCTCCGCCAACCGCTCCGAACAAAAAGTAGTCCCAAATGGAATAAAATGCACGGACTTGGTCAACCTATCCACTATCACCCAAATGGCATCAAACTTCCTCGAAGTCCGTGGGAGTCCAACTACGAAGTCCATGGTGATACGCTCCCATTTACACTCCAGAATTTCAAGCCTCTGAAGCAATCAGCCCGGTCTCTGGTGCTCGTACTTCACCTGCTGACAATTCAGGCACCGAGCTACAAACCCCACTATATCTTTCTTCATTCTCCTCCACCAATAATGCTGCGTCAAGTCTTGGTACATCTTTATCGCACCCACATGAATGGAATACCGCGAACTGTGGGCCTTTTCAAGAATCAACTCACGCAACCCATCTACATTTGGCACACAAATTCGACCCTGCATCCTCAACACCCCATCATCTCCAATAGTAACATCTTTTGCATCGGCGTGCTGAACGGTGTCCTTCAGGACAAGCAAACGGGGATCATCATACTAGCACTCTCTAATCATATAAGGAAGACCGAGAAACCACACAAGCTAGAACTCGACTGGACTCCAAAACATCTAACGTCACAAACTAATTGGCTAAGGCCTGAACATCTGATGCAAGCAACCTCTCACCAACATAAATAATGCAAGACTACCCATACTCACCGCCTTTCTACTCAAGGCATAGGCCACTATATTGGCCTTACCGGGGTGACACAAAATAGTAATATTGTAGTCCTTTAGCAACTCCAACCATATGCATTGTCTCAAATTTAGATCCTTTTGCTTGAATAAGTGTTGTAGACTCTGGTGATCCATAAATACCTCACAAGACACACCGTAGAGGTAATGCCTCCAAATCTTTAATGCATGAACAATGGATGCCGACTCCAAATCGTGAACAGGATAGTTATTCTCATGTGGGTTCAACTGGCACGAAGCATAAGCAATCACTCTACCCTCTCACATTAAGACACACCCAATATCAATCCTAGAAGCATCACAATACACTGTATAAGAACCTGACGCTGAAGGCAAAACTAGAACTGGAGTCGTGGTCAAGGCAGTCTTGAGCTTCTGAAAGCTCTCTTCACACTCATCCGACCACTGGAATGGAGCACCTTTTTGGGTCAATTTGGTCATAAACGCTGCAATGGACGAGAAGCCCTCTATAAAGCAACGATAATATCCGGTCAAGCCGAAAAAACTCTAAATCTCAGTAGCTGAAGATGGCCTGAGCCAACTCTGAACCGCCTCTATTTTCCTCGAATTTATCTTAATCCCCTCACTAGACACCACGTGTCCCAAGAATGCTACCGAACTAAGACAAAACTCACACTTGGAGAATTTGTCATACAATTTCTTCTCCTTCAGCCTCTGTAGTACAATCCTTAAACGTTGTGCATGCTCCTCCTGGCTACGTGAGTACACCAGGATATCATCAATAAATACTACGACAAACGAATTAAGGTACAACTGGAATACATTGTTCATCAAGTGCATGAATGTTGCTGGGCCGTTGTTCACCCCAAAAGACATCATAAGAAATTCATAGTGACCATAGCGGGTTCTGAATGCCGTCTTTAGAATATCCAAATCCCGAGTTTTCAACTAGTGAGACCCGAACCTCAAATCAATCTTGGTGAATACCCTCGCTCCCAGAAGCTGGTCAAATAAATCATCAATGCTCGGTAAAGGATACTTGTTCTTGATTGTAACTTTGTTTCAGCTGTCTGTAGTCGATGCACATCCGCATAGTACTATCCTTCTTTTTCACAAACAAAACCGGTGCGCCCCAAGGCTACACAATAGGCCTAATAAACCCATTATAAAGAAGTTCCTAAAGCTGCTCTTTCAATAATTTCAACTCAGCTGGTGCCATACGATACGGAGAAATAAAAACGGGCTGAGTGCCCGGCACCAAGTCAATACCAAAATCAATATCCCTGTCGGGTGGCATACCCAGCAGGTCTGCAGGAAATACATCCGGGAAGTCTTGCACTACTGGATCAGAATCAATAGTAGGAGTGTTAGGAGCAACATCCCTCACAAAGGCTAAATGTGACAAGCACCCCTTCCCAACCATCCGTTGGGCCTTCAAATAAGAAATCACCCTGCTGGGAACATAATATGGAGAACCTCTCCACTCGATCCTCAGCAACCTAGGCATATCCAACGTCACGGTCTTAGCGTGACAATCCAGAATATCATGTCATGGAGACAACCAATCCATACCCAAAATCACGTCGAAATCAACCATACTAAGTAATAAGATATCAACTCTAGTCTCCAATCCCCCATTAGTCACCACACATGACCGATACACGCAGTCCACAATAACAGTATCGCACATCATCATAGATATATGAACAGGTGAAACTAAGGACTCACGGGGCATATCTAGACAACGAGCAAAATATGAAGATGCATACGAATATGTGGAACTAGAGTCAAATAATATAGAAGCATCCCTATAGTATACTGGGATAATACATGTGATCATTGAGTCTGAAGCAACAGCATCTGGCCTGGAAGGAATAGAATAAAATTGAGCCTGACCGCCACCTGATCAGCCTCCCCCTCTAGGGTGACCTCTGGCTGCCTGAGCCCCACCCCAAGCTGGCTGGGCGGGTGGCGTAGTAACTGGTGCGAGAGTCGTAGCCTAACTCCTCTGCTTAACTAGACCTCCCAAAATGCGGGGACCATGTCTCTTCACATGAACCAACTCTCTACACTCAAAACAACCCCTCTCGGAAAATAGTGGCAAGTACTGAGGCGGACCCCGAGAACCAGAATAACTGCCAGAAGAACCTGGTGCAGATGTACCCTAAACTGATGGTGCACGAGATGAACTCTGAGCTAGAAGTTCACTGAGAGATGACTGACCCGGTCGAGCATTGTATAAACCATGGCTAGCTGATGTGCTATGATGAACTGGACGAGCCATCTGAGCGGGCCTATAAGGTTGACCCCTACTGTGATAGGACTGTCCCTTAGAAAGAACACTGTTGGAACCACCCGAACCACGAGGCCTCTTGGCCTCCCTCTCCTCACGTTCTTGTATACGGACCATCTCTAGCCGCCGAGCACAATCAACTACCTTGTCGAACTTAGCACCTACTACATTCCC